TGTACATGTCCAACGATTCATTCAAGTATTATTATTGTTTATATATATGATATTGTGCAGTATTCATTGAGAAGCTAGCCATGAACAGTGTCATCTGAAGCAGAGATATTAAACAAACATGTCAACAAATAGATTTTGTCTCCCCATCAGCAGATTGTTAAGTTGTTCTTTGAACATAGCCTTCACGGTGCCATAATATGGCCGTAGGAAGCTCTTTTCGATTGGGGAAATTTTTAAATTTAGAGTCTCTGAAATGCGATTTCCTGGACTTTGGGGAAGATTTGACAGAATTCTGATAGTCAGAAAACAGTGTTTCAGTATGTCGAAATTTACAATTTAGTAGTACTAAATGGGCGAAGGCGTATTTAATTTACTATATATTGAATAAATTGCAGGAAATATGTTGTGATCAAGAGACATGACCAAGAAAAGTAAAATATGTTTAATAAAGCAAAACAAACAGGCCCAATACAGCAATACTAAATTGTGTTACGGTTAAACAAAACAACATGTTTCTTTATAGTGTCAGGCCTCCAGGCGTATTGCCAGGCATGCAGGCAAAAATTAAATAAATTAACATAATCATTACAACCTCCTTTTTAAGTAAATGTTTTGAAAATAGAAAAAGTCAGGTTTAGTAGTAAGTTCTTTTCAATATAGAAATAATTGTTTATACTATGACTCAGTTCAAAACTATGATCTCACAAAGTCTCGCAGATGAGCAGGTGGCTTTATAATTCTACCAGAACGGGTTTAGATTCCCTGTTCACTGTCGTTTCGAACACAAGATAGTTGTACCGCTAAAGGGTTAGGTGGTATCTCCATTTCATCAGCAGCAGCATAACGCAGATCGAATGTTTCCGGCGTGCTAAGAAGATTTCTTCTATTTCTACGAATGATTGTTCCTTTCTCTGTTTTAACAGCATAAGATATTGGCTGCTCAACTCTTTCCATTATTTTTCCGTTCACATGCCATGACTTACCATCCCTAATTCGTACTGATTGTCCTTCTTTAAGAGGTCGCAAATTCTTTAAATGTTGATCGTGATACTCTTTAACAGTGGCGTAGCTAGCGAAATTTTACTAGTCCTGCTCTAAGACCCACACATTCTAGGGGGGTCCGGGGGGCAAGCTCCCCTGGGAAATTTTGAATTTTAGAAGTCTGGAATGGCCATTTCTTGCGATTTCATGGCGAAATACTCCAAACTGTCCAAAGGGAACATAAAAAAATTGCGTGATTAGCGGAAAATTTTTGATAATTTTTTTAGAAAAAAAATTTTGTAACTTTTTGAAATCCATGCATTTTTTATCATATTTCACTATATATATTTTTCAACTTAACTGAAAATGTAGCTAAATATAATCAAGTCAAGAAAGAGGAAAATATCATGTATACAATACGCGTCTGTAATACGATCTTTCACTTGATCAACACATATTAAATCCAACCGCACATAATGAACAATTGCGTAACTATTATACTGTTGAACCGCCGTTTTATACACTATAACGCTACGGCTAGCATTCGTTAAAAATTCACTACGTTTGTTAGTAATGTGTTAAACTTTATATAATGGAGTGGTATCAACAACAGATCACTACGCCTGGCACTCAGCATTCTGAATGTAATTCAGTACGCTATGCCTATGGTATTAAATATAGCGTTTAATATTGTCTATGCGGCCAAATATCTACATAAACAGTGTGAATTGGTACAGTATATCATTTTTAAAATTAAACTCCATGTAAGTGCTCGTTTCAAATGCACAACGCAGATGAACTGGCAGTGAATATTACGTTCTTACTTTATATCAATACGACAGGCTTCACAAATGAAGTTTGTATTCCCCATTATATTGTATTATAAAAAACACAATCATCAGTCGAGTCTGTTCACATGCATTTCGTGAGCTAAAATATGTTAGCAGAAGCCAGAAATTATATCAAAATCACATTGGTCTTCCACACTCGTTGATTTCCATATTCATAACTTGAGTAATCTCGACAGAATTAGTAAAAAGTGGGTTTAGTCACGCGGAAAGCTCGCAAGTAAAGACAATACAAGGCCAAGTCCTGCCATTTCGAGAGAGCAGGACTTCGCATTTGTAAACAGTCGGTTTGAGCATGCGCAGACCTAATTATCCAATCAGAAACCATGATTTCTTGTATGAATTTACTATGAAATATACTAGCAAGTCCTGCCATTTGAAAATGGCAGGACTGAAATACGAGTCGCGTGTAAATCAATGTAGAGCTGCAGTTGCTAGGTAACAGACACGGCAAGTTGTAAAATTGCGTAAATATAACAGAATGCGAAAAACTTTTTAAAAAATAATAACGAAAAAGACGAGAAAATGAGGCAAAATAACAATATGATAATGATAAATTTTTAAAGCTTCAAGATAAATAAAGCAATGTTTTAGTAAGGAAATTTGGGGAAAATTTTAGTCCTGCTGGGCAGGACAAGCAGGACCGCTAGCTACGCCACTGCTCTTTAACCTTTTGTGACCCAAGCAAAGTAGGTGATGTTTTCTCAGTTTTTAGTGAAGGTAGGGGCGTTCAAAGATGGCGATTCATTAACTTAAATGCTGGGGACGGGGAATTGCCAGTTCCAGGAGTTGAACGTAATGCAAGTAGTGCGAGGCAAGGGTCATCGCAACTTTTAAGAGCCTTTTTTATGGTCTTCTTTCCAGTTTGAAAAGCTCTTTCTACGAATCCATTACTCTTTGGGTATCTGGGTCTTAACGTATCATGTTGGAAACCTCACTTTTCCCCAAATGTTTTATATTGATGCGAAGAATATTGAGGACCATTGTCACTAACTACAATCTTAGGTATACCAAATCGAGCACATATACTTTTGGTATGTTGCACAACAGTCGAGGCTAGGGTATGGAAAAACATCTTGATACCATCTTTTCCAAAAATTGTCTACTATCCGCTGACAAAATTCATATCGATGGCGTTTTCGATTCTCTGAAAGGGCCTTGGGGTGTGTTAGTCGATGCTCGGCCAAGCAGGATATCATTCGGGCAGAGGTATGTGCCGTCTTCAGGATCATTAGGAATACGACCAATTGGGCGTTGGTTCAGTAAGTTTGCCGCTTCGAATAATACCGTTTGACACTCCAAAGGAGCGAGAACTTGATCTCCGATCGATTTCTTGAGCGCTGCTTTGGTCACTCGAATAAGCGACTCTGCACATCCGTTGTGATGAGCGCAGTTGGTGTAACAAATTTCCATTCCATACCCTTCTCGTGTAGGAAATCTTTCAGTTCTGTTGTATCACTTCTCCCAATGGCTTTCCGTAACTCGGCTTCGGCACCTACTAGTTGACTTCCTCGGTCACTCCACAGACAGCGTGAATAGCCCCGGATGCAGAAGAATCTTCTCAGTACGGGTAAAATACCAGGAGTCGAGTAATCCGTTGCAACGTCAATGTAAACAGCTCTGATGTTCAGACATGTAAACAGGACACCCCAATATTTGTCGGTCTTGTTTCGGCCAACTTTGACTTTGATAGGACCAAACAGGTCGACAGCTGTATAAAAGAACGGTGGTGTGAATGGTGCAAGTCGATATGGTGGGAGGTTTGCCATCATTTGTATTTCGTTTTTCTGTGCTCTCTGCCGACAGAAGACGCACTTGAATTTCATACTCTTCGCAATGTGGTGTACGCCGACGATCCAGAATCTTTTCCGTGTCTTTGCTGCGGTTGCCGCTACGCCGAGATGTCCATACTGGTGTGCTTGTCTTACGATTAGGGTAGATAGCCAGTGACAACGTGGAATAATGGGTGGATGTCGAGTCTCATATGAAACTGGTGCGTTCTCAATTCGGCCTCCGACGCGGATGATACCATCATCATCAATGGATGGTGCCAGATTTCTGAATTCATTCTTCTGGATTAAGGGTTTTATCGCTGACTGTGCATCTTTAAGTAGAACCGTTTCTGCTTCCTCCAATTCAGCGACTGTCAATGCGCCAGACAGACGTTGATAAGTTGCAACTTTCCTTGCTTTGCAGTTGTGGATAAACCTCCGGATTACCGCCAAGACTCGAACTGCCCGCCTGTACTTGGAGAATCGCTTGGTAAACTGCATCAGGGGACAGCAGGCTGGTAAATTAACAACAACATTGACTTTACGGCATTCGATAGGCATGTCATTTGCATCATTGTCCTGACTCAGTTGCATTGATGGCCACTGATCTTCTGGCTGAAGAAGAAAGGCTTCTCCGTGTTTCCAGCGACCGGACAGATTTTCGATACACAAACCTCGGGTTACATCGTCTGCAACATTTAAATCAGTTGAACAATAACGCCAATCAGCTGGGTCTGATTTAGCCTTGATTTCGGCAACACGCACGGAGACAAAGACTTTGAAGGAACGTGTTTCATTTTGAATCCAAGCTAAAACAATCATGGAATCACAGAAAAATATTGTCTTCTCAAACTCCAAGCGGCATTCACTTCGGATAGTATGATTGAGTCTGCAAGCGATTACTGCTGCTTGCAGTTCAAGATTTGGCATTGTTAATTCCTTTACTGGAGCGACTCGCGACTTTGCCATGATGAACCTAACTGCAAAGGAACCATCCATCAATCTCCACCTTATGTAGGCCACCGCTCCAAATGCCTTTTCTGAAGCATCACTGAAAATTATTAGGATTGGCTTTCCCAACACATCTTCTGGGGTCAAGCATCGTTGAAAGGTAACATCTTTAAGCTTTGATAAGTCGTCAAACCATTTGTACCAGTTGTCTTTCACTTGTTGGGGTAGATCTTGATCCCACTCATATCTTCCCTTCCACAGCTCTTGGATACCAATCTTGGCACGAATAATCAAAGGGGCTGCAAATCCAAATACATCGAATATCCCAGAGATTATGCTCAACACCATCCGCTTTGTCAGTTTAATTGGCCTTGTCCACTCTACACCATCAACTTTACAGGCCATAAGAACTTTGGGGTTGTTTACTGATACAGACAACAAATCCAACTCTCGATTCCAGGCCACTCCCAGGACTTTCTCTTCTGATATAGTGGTTTCTTCAGGAGTGTTTTTTTTCGATCTCACTGGTACTTTGTTCACTGCAATGTGGTCCACGGGACGACTTTCTGATAAATCTGCATTAGAAATCCATTCTTTGATCTTGAAGTGTCCTGTACTGAGTACGTGATCAATCTCATTCGTACGTTTAACAGCTTCACCAATCGAGGTAACTGAGTCGGCAATGTCATCCATGTATCGACACTCTTTGATGGTTGTTGCTGCGTCTGGGTAATTTTCAGCATTCTCTTCAGCTGTGAGATCCATTGCTGTATTTGCCATGGGTGGAGCAGGCTTATCACCGAACGTGAGAACTGTTTTAACATAAATGTCTGGTTCACGGTTTTCAAAACTTCGCCAGAGGAACCGATGGGAATGTGCATCTACAACAGGATCAACAAGAACTTGATGGTACATTTTTGAGACATCCCCCAAGATTGCAACATAATTTTCCCGAAATCTTAAGAGGACTCCAACTAAATCATTGAGGAGATCTGGCCCTTTGAGCATGTATTCATTGAGAACATGACCATGATATTTCGCGACAGCATTAAAGACAACGCGACAAGGAGTGGACTTCTTTTCTAATTTGATAACGGCGTGATGGCTGATGTAATGCACTGGACCATTATGTTGTTCTATGTCCCTTTGCATGAGCTTCTTTGCGTGGCCATGTTTTTCCATTACCAATATTTGATCATCATACATTTTTGCATTTTCCTTGTTCTTTAAGAGCCGCTTTTCAATACTTCCAATTTAGCCAAAGCTTGTCTATAGTTGTCCGGAAGTTCATTTGGATCCTTTGCCCATGGTATAGGGATCATCCATTGTTGTTCGACCTTTACAGCACTGTCGCGAATAATCTTCGCCTCTTCCTTCTCGATAGAGCTAAGCAGTTTCTCCC